CCGAAACTGAAACTAAGGATTAACTCTTCCACCATATATGCCAAGTAAAGATTACCCTTTAATACTCTGTCATCTCAAACTAGTAATCAGGTGAAGTCAACGAGTAAATTTGCAAAAAATGTTTGGTATTTATGTTCGATCATCAGTAACCTAAATCATGAACATTATTAAGGCTTAATTTAATTTGGAGGGGGGAGGTCAATCTGTTCGCAACTCCCCTCCCTCTCAACTAAATTAAATTGCCCTCCCACTGTTTTTTGCTCCCACTGCCCTCTCCCCGCTCAGTTTTTGTTCCCCGCTGCCTTCCCCCCACTCGGTGTTGCTCCCACTGCCCTCTCCCAACTCAGTTGTTGTCCCCTACTGCCTTCTCTCCACTCATACTATTTTAATTCTCCCCTCTCAACAGTTTCTGCTACCTTCTCCCTATCATTTCCCAGAGAAGAAGTTAAAGTCTCGATTGGTCACCAGCTCCAATCCTTAAATCCCTGTGAATTAAATTTAACGTGTTTTTTTTATAGCAGGCGAATTTAATGGTGATATGTATTAAATTATTTTAATTAATTGTTACAACAGAAGTGCGTATAACCCCTCCCGCAATAAGCGCTGCTTATTTTTCATATACGAACCGTGACAGTGCTAAAAACTTGCTAAAAGGGGTATGCATATAGGAAAACCTAAAAAGGATTAATTTAATCTGATTGCCCTCTCCAAAAATCTAACGTGCACTGGACTGCAATATACAGGCATGGCATTGTTTGCGAAGATTGTCATCGGTGGTGGCGTTCAGTCAAATTGATCACGTGCTAAGTGCCACGAATGAAACGGCAGTCTGCCTCGGGCGGATATTATCATGCAGTTTGCGCCATTGGACTACTCCCCTTTGGGCAGTCTAAACATTCCTCCCCTTTGGCAATTTGGTTGTTGATGCCCGCGGAAAATTAGCTTTTTGTCCTTACCCTCTCAATCTAAAAATGGAACTTGCCTGCCCTCTGAATAAAAAATCTTCTCCTACTGGGATTCCCCTCTAAGAAACCCTAGTTTTAATGCCCTCCCACTGAAGATATGTTTTATTTTGCCTGCCCGCTAAAAATCCCTTGCGAACACATTTTTTCACGAACAGCTCCGTTGACTGCACCTGAGTAATTGCAGCTAACTTTCTGATGCAAGTAGTGTTCTCATTTGTCAGAAGCCAATATTTGATAATACATATCAATCTAAATGTTTGCAGTGAATGCCTCCCAAGTTCCCAAATTTAGCTGCATTACAGGTCTTGTAGCCCACATTTAAAATATATTTACAAAAACATGAACGAACTGGTTCAATATTGGGCCCATCATAGGAGCTACGTAACTCACAGATATACATGAGAATTAGAATAACTTCACAGTCAATTATTTTAAGAGCAGTTTTAAAGGGTGGTGGTCATCGCGCAGCAATGTATTTTACATGCAATGTGTGCGTCGTTATGAGTCCCATGTCGAACAAGATTGGCTAAGAATCTTTTTAATGATGTCTATCGAGACTTGACAAATTGCGTTTTGCTATATACCAGTACGAGGAAGCGTTAAAACGAAATAATTAAAGGGCGGTGGTCGTCGCGCTGCGCCCTTTTCGATATGCTCACTTTCATTGTTATATAACACACAAGCAGTTTGTTAAATTTTCTTTGGAAACCACTACTGGTATTACTTGAAATGGTCAAGTCGTCAGCATAAAGCAGATACAGAAATGTTAATGGCCCCACGTAGACCCCTCTATTGATACCAGTCTGAAGCATGCCACCAAGGTCATTGGTAAATAAGTTGAATAAAAGAAGGAAATGTGTATTCCTGTGTGTACAATTAAAGAATTTTCATTAATACATGTACCATAGCTGTAGTTAGATATTCTGTGTGTAATAATTCGACAGAGAAGTTTGCCAAGACATCCAACTCCCTACAGAAATACCACTGGGTTATCAGGATCCCCAATGTAATTGTGTAGAGGTCCAAACTGAGGGTAAAGTTTCAAACTTGAAGAGCAGATTAAAAAGTTTATATAAAAATGGAATAATTTTTTACACATTTATAGGTAAATTACGATCCACTGAATGTTTTCCAAGAGCAACTGGTCTATTTTAGCCAGATACAAACTTACACATGAACTTGCTGCTATGTGGAATTGTTAGTAGAGCATGATGGATTGTGGGAAGAGAAATGTGACATTGTAAATGCTTTTGCAAGAGTGTGATAATGTTGGTCCTTTGATCCAGGCACATCCATCTATTGTTTTGTTATCACTGCTGAGATAATTAAAACCACGTTTCAGAATTGTTTAAGTCTCCCTTACACAATTAGTACACAGTTATTAATTCCTTAAGAATTGGCATTGTCAACCAGGTAGGTATAACCACTCCATCTAATTTTACATTTTAGATAAAGTCTGATTATAATCCAATTAAGAATCATTGTATTCCAATAAAACAACATATAAAAACAGGTGAAATATTGGACCAAAATTTTTGCCTGAGACATTATATCCCTCAAAGGGTTAACAAATTTCATACTTGATCTCAGTGAATTCATAATATGCATTCATTTAATAACAAATCAACCAGAATTTGTTAAAAAATCTTTATTTTCAAATCTAATGTATTAAAATTTACAAATTTGTCCATAATTCATTCAGCAGTTGTAGAAAACAATTGTAGATATGTAAATAGCAGTTTACAACAAGTAGTAGTAATATATGTGATTCATTATGTTGCCTTGGTTATACAGGAGCATGTCATGCTGCCAGAGGACTTTCATTCAACATCATAGTGCATATGTCTGCTGCGTTTGCTCCATTAAAAACACATGGGATTGCTTAAATGCCCTGTCAAATGCACAGATTCCATCTCTGAACTAAACATTACCCTGGAACACCTATGTACCAAGTTTCATACAATGAGCGAGTGGATTTCACATATGCAGTTCAGCTAATAATTTTTTAAATTATTTGATTAATATGCATGTATTTCAACACTAAACTCATCATGTCTATCTGACGTCCAAGACAAATTTTCATTTTAATCTAAATGAAGTGCTTCTTGATTTTAACCCTAAGCTAATAATGTATGTACATATTCACAGATAATCTATGTACAAAGTTTCATTGAAACTGGAGGCATTTGTGGACCAATTACAATTTGGCAAAATTATGCAAATTACCGGTAGGTAATGAATGTGTTCAGATTTAAACATAACTTTTATCTGGTTAAGTCAATGTAAAAGTACATTGAGCTGACAGTATAAGGGTCAAGTTAATCAAGTCTGTGTAGTGTCTTATTAGCATCTGTGTATAAAGTTGTATTGAAATGCAATAATTAGTTCTTGAGATGTTGTAGGAAAGTTAAAAATTGGCTAATTAGTTAACTGATTTATTTATACCAAAATGTTATACAGGTCTTGTGTGATCACATGTGTTTCTAATAGAGCAAATACGGTATACATTGTACATGCAATAACTGTTGATTTTTAGCCCTTATGAAGATCACCATGGTAACAGCTATTTACAACTAGTAACACAATAATATGAACATTATATAGCAGTAGTACAGTTCTGTATAAACTCATTGTTAATTGAGTATGCCATACTGTTTTGTTCCCACATTTTATCCAATTAAAAAAAAATATTCAGTTAGTTATCCACAAGATACAATATTGAACCACAAAGTTTGTACAAAAGTACTGAAATGATTAAAAATATGTATCAAAGTTGAGTAAATAAAAAAGAAGCAGTGTCATCATTAAAAAAGTTTGATTTGTAAACATTATATGAATTTCTTTGGCTCGTACTATCACGCTTCATATAAGAAGCCAGCACATACAACAAATACAAAGAAATACTCGCCTGAAAATGCTTATCACGAAATTTTTCCCGTGGTTACCTTGTTGAGAATACATAATTCATAAATTGTGAATTTATCTGGGTACATATGAAATTCAGAATGCTGATAGTGACTATTAAAGAGGCAATAACTGATTTTTTTTTCTTTAAATAAATACAATTTTCACAGAAAGTCTGCGGTAAGTTTTTATCGTGCATCTTAAAATGGGAGGTTCTTGTGACAAAATTGGATTTTAGCACATGGCGCCCTCTAGAAACATGGACGCAACCCAACGGCCACCTCTTTTCACTTGCAAGTGTTTAAATGTACAATGCTATATGCTACGCTTCCAGTGACCACATTTCAGCGAAATTGACGCTAATAACACAGAAAATGTTTTATTCAAAATAAAAATTGGAGAAGAAAAATTGTTTCAGCTATTGCCACTTTAAAGCATCCCTGTCTCCATAATATGGATTCCATGCATCATGTGTAACATACACACTTGGTAACTGTAGTGCTTCAGTGTCTGAAATCCTCAAGCTTAATGTTATATAACTCTGCATATTGTAAAACATAGTGTAACTATTAAAACCTTGTTCATAGTATAATATAAATATATATAGAAAAAAGATAATAAATTGAATAATAAGAGGAAAATATCAAAGGTTAGTTCAATGATACAAAACATCAAAAACTGAACTTGCTATGTCATTTACGCTACTATAAATAGCCAGTAACAATTCCATAACATCAAAGCTAAAAATAGAATTACAGAACAGATTAGATTGAGATCAATGAGGGGTTTTATTAATTAATCACATGATTAGCACAGCTACAATTACCGGTAGATTTTTTGTGAATAATTTCATCAAGAAAAAATCAGAAAGTTCTGGTCCACAAAATATTACGTCAATAACACTTGCAACTCACAAATAAATCATTGCAGGATTTCACATAATAAGAGCAAGTACTCTCAAAACAAAAACTGGATATCTATTTGTAATATTTGATGACATCATTTGTTACATATTTAACATTTTTAGCCTCTTTTGAAGTGACATTCCACAAATTTTAAGTATTAATGCAAAATTTGATTACTATCGCAGTCAAATAATGCATTATAGTAGCACTTAAACCCCGCCAAATTCAAAACAATTTTATGAATAAAAAACAAAATTAATAATTAATTCATTAATAAACTGAAATCTCCAGCTTTCTGAATATATACATCATGTTATGTTTTAAATACCTCCATTCATCAGCTTATAACAAAGCATGGTTTCAAAGGTGTATATCAATCTTATTGGTTTATCAGAATTTTTGTTCGTCTTTGAAAAATTTCAGCCAAGAGTAGGGGAAAAATAGAATTTGTGCTAATCATGTTAAATGTTAGAGGCAGAGAGTAGGACAAACATAATACTTATACAATTCCTTTTGAGTGATGGTTATGTTTAAATATTTTGTGATTGAGCACATTCAACACATGACTAGCTTTGACCACTAAAAGTACACTATTGACTGATACCCAAAGTGGAATGGAATTGACAATATTAATAAAAGTAAAATTGTCTTTTCTTTATCGTCTGTGAATGTTGTCTGCATTTGATCTTTCAAACATACTTGAAAAAGTTCAATAGTTCTATTCTTAGTAAGATCTCTTGACAAATGCTACTGAAAACTCATTTTTTGGGAACTTAAATGAATATTTAACTTTTTTTTTTTTTTAAATATTCAAGAATGATTTGTAAAATTGTAGTAGTATACTCTCCTTACAGAAATTCAGAAATATACTTTGGCCTCTGATTATTACTGTTGATAGAAAAAACACTTGAGAGCACCATTTTGCTTACGGTATGACAATGGTATTGCTATTGATACACAACAATAGTATCGCTACATTTGCATAGATGACTTGACCAATCAGTGACATTTCCTACATGCTCAAATGTTCCATTCTTGATAATCATCTGCAGCTAGCTTTTGAATTTGACGAATCACAACTCGGAAAGCTGGACGTCTATCTGGCTCCTGTTGATACAAATGTGCACACTTAATATGAGTGATAATTTTTAAGAAAGACGAAATCTACAATCCAACATCCTTAATGTGATGTGTAGGTTTCATATATATGTGACATTTGAAATTAGATTTCTACGAGAGCTCAATTACTATGAGCTTGTTCAATTACCTGCTTCTGGGTACGACATGAACTACCATCTTTATGTCAAGCTGTCTCAGTACTGCAAGCAAGGGCAGTAAACAATTTGCGGTATCCCAGTTGTGACGTCCCCATTATAATCAAATACTGTAAAATACTTTATTTTAGCTGGAATTAATTTTTCGCTGAAAAGACTTTTTTGGTGTTTCGTATGGAATTTATTTTCACTTATTTTTGATGACTTGAATGCAAAATATAGGAAAAAAAGTATATTCGCTGGATATTCACTGAATCATTCCTTCAACGAAAAATAGCGAAAATTAGTTCTAAGCAAAAATAAAGTATTTTACAGTACGGAGGCAACCTTGAAGCACACACCCCAGCAGCCTTGAAGCACCCCAAGGCTGATGATTGAACACACCCTTACCTCTTCCCAGCAAGACATCATAATAGTATAGACAGATTCAGGACAATTACTCGGTCGCTCTAACCTATAACCCCTAGATGACACCTGGTTTACTACCTCCACATTACTCATATTAGGATATGGCATCTTACCAGCCGTGAATACTTCCCACATTAGTATACCTACAAGTAACAACAGACAGTTAGTTATATTACACATTGATAATAACTGTAACTCCCTCATTTGGTTGGGCCACTCTATAGGTTTGACCCCTCTATTGGTTGGACCCCTCTAATGGTTGGAATCCTCTAATGGTTGGATCCCTTAATTGGTTGAACCCCTCTATTGGTTGTACCCCTTTACTGGTTGAATAAAACATCTTCTGATTGGTCAACACATGATTAAAGATCAATTAATTGAATAAAACAACTTACCGAATGCCCAGATATCAGATTTGCTACTAAACTTGGTGTAATGTAGAACCTCTGGTGGAGCCCATTTAATTGGAAATTTGGAGCCTCCTGAGCTGGTATAGTCATCATCTATTACAAACCTTAAACATAGTGAAATTATTACAACCTTGCCCAACTAGGAGTATATAAATGCAAGCCACAATTTGTTTAAAAGTCTGAGTTACATGGATCAATAGCTGAAATATGGATCAGTGCGAAATTAAATGGTAGTTCAAACAGGTGTTATGCGTAGCACAGTAATCTAGGAAGTTGTGAAAAAAATAGTGATGGCTAGGAAGAAAAAACTAAACTAAAACTGGTAAGTTAAGGAGTAAATATTAGTGATAAATAATTAGGACATGGCCCCTTAAGTGTTTGTGTTTGAATACAAAGGCAGGAAAAGTCACAATCACTAAACAGAAAATAAAAATGACCTACCGTGTTAATCCAAAATCACACACTTTAACGGTAGTTCTGTCACCGACAAGACAATTACGTGCAGCCTGAGTAGTAAGGACAATAAGCATTATTTTAATAACCATAAAAAAATTTAACAACTTGTTATGATTTGATAAACATACACCAATTGGATAACTTGTTATGATTTGAAAACCAAACAATTTGATAACTTGTTATGATTTGAAACCATACAACAATTTGATAACCAGTTATGATTTGAAAACCATACAACAATTTGATAACTAGTTATGATTTGAAACCATACAACAATTTGATAACCAGTTATGATTTGAAAACCATACAACAATTTGATAACTAGTTTTGATTTGAAAACCACACAACAATTTGATAACCAGTTATGATTTGAAAACCATACAACAATTTGATAATATATTATGATTTGAAAACCATACAGCAATTTGATAACCAGTTATGATTTGGAAACCATACAACAATTTGATAACCAGTTATGATTTGAAAACCATACAGCAATTTGATAACTAGTCATGATTTGAAAACCATACAACAATTTGATAACCAGTTATGATTTGAAAACCATACAACAATTTGATAACTTGTTATGATTTGAAAACCATACAACAATTTGATAACCAGTTATGACTTGAAAACCATACAATTTGATAACCAGTTATGATTTGAAAACCATACAATTTGATAACCAGTTATGATTTGATAGTCCTGGTAATGTGATAACCAAGTTTTGGCAAAAAAGTTGAAAGTAAGAGTTAACAGAAGGGTAAAAGAAGGGTAAACATTGACTTTTATTAAAGTAAACAAGATTATGCTATTGAATAACAAGATACTCACTAAGTCTCTATGTATAAAACTTTTGGATTCCAAATAAACCATTGCTGAGCAGACTTGTTTACACATATCAAGTAATTGTAGTGGTTTGTCAAGTAGATACTGACGATATCTCAAATAATTCAATAGACAACCTATAAAGTTATAGAAGAAAATATTCATACCACAATATGACTGTATATATTGGATTTTGTTTATTTTGTTTTTTTGTAATTTTAAAAATATTTTTGTCTTGTGCGACAGTTCCGGACATTAAATGTCACTGTTGTCTTTCCTGACTTTTTTTGCAAGTGCGAGTCGACATATACCGGTATCTGGTAGTGCATTTTGCCACAGAAACCATATTCCAGTTTGGGACTACGTGACGGGGCTGTGTGACCATCTTCCTATCATATTCACTATGGCAGTTTGTTTAACTATCCTGGCGTTAACCATTATATGGAATGTTGATTACCCTACTACAACATTTTACAAGTTCCATATCAGTCTGCTGTATGAGTACCGAATTATCACATATTATCCCTTCCATCCTTACTATGTGCATGCCAAAGAAGATAGTCAAACAAAACAAGATGTCTCATCAAGAAATCTCACCTTTATTCATATATTCTGTGATGATGTACAATGGTCTAGATTTGCTACATACACCATATAACTGCACTAGGTGTTCATGTTTGAGTTGTCTGAAATACAAAATTAGTTAAATCGCTATAAACCACAATTTTGACTGCTATAAATGTTTGTGGCTTGATAATATGATGGTGTCCATGACAAGCAAATTTGGCGAAAATCATTGATGAAAGTTTTTGAGATTGTAATATTTTACATTTGATTGTTATGAATTACAGAATGGAGATACAAACTTAAAAAAAAATTTGCAAAATTGTAATCTGATATTGTAATCCTACTTACTGCATTACTCGGGCCTCATCAATGAAATCATCTTCAGACATTGCGTTTTCTCTCATCATTTTAACTGCAACGTAGGTACCATTGTTCAATTTTCCTAGCCTGACTATACCAAATTGACCACCCCCAAGTTCCTTCATCAACGTAATCTCCGCTGGGTCAATCTCCCAAATATCTACAATAAAACACCAGAAATTAGATTTACATCTATCGTATGTGCTAGTAGTGCACGCACTTACGGTATGTATATTACAGGCGTGTTTCTATTATGCAGATAAATCATAATTTAATGATGTATAATACATTTTAGGTTTATTTGTGCTTATAATGAGAAAAACAAGAACAATGACGACGACGATGACACTGACAGACATATGATCTTCACATAGTCAACACTAAATATGAATTACAATGTGGATTTATAATACATTTGTTATTTACAGAGACTTGTTGAATAAAATTATTTCAGACGATCAGAACTTTTGATTCTTAGGTAATCGATGGCATAATGTAAACCCTACACTGTCTCAGCACTATCAATGAATGAATGTGAATTTGGTCTTAATGATTTTGTACTTTAATCCGCGTATATGTAGCAGCCATAGCCATCCACGGGGGCGTACATGTATTTTGTTTATACAAACCTTTTTTACCCAAAATGACAAAAATATTTACTAAAATTGGAAAATTAAACTTGTCACAAAACCAACAAACCTGTCAGAGGTTCAGGCAAGAAGTCTGTATATAAAATATCAATGCAATTGGGCAAGTAATTTTGAAATGACAATAGCTGTAACTATTGATCGATTTTCTCCAATTAGTAACGGCCGTTGTCGAAATGTGGATACTGAAAGCACAGCATATATATATATATATATATATATATATATATATATATATATATATATATATATATATATATATATATATATATATATATATAGGAAGGTAGTCGATTATTCCAGGTGAGAGTGCTCGATACTAAACGATGAGTTTGTAGAGCAGATTTACATACATGGACAGAGAAATTAAGACACGACTACATGAGTAAAGTTCACTCTACAGTACTGTTTCGTAAGTTACATGGAGTACCTCACTCATCAGGAATTAAGACTTTATTAAATAAACCACCGAAACAGACTACGTTATAAGCGCTACAGATTTGCATAACAATGGAGTGTGTTTACGATATTAAAACTAGTTGTTGCATAGCAACGATTCATAGCAACGATATATACTGACGTTGTATATTAAATCACTTGCATGTGAAAAAAGATGGCATCAATGCCTCCACATCACATTGTACGTGATATTTGTCTTTTGTATGGTAACTTTGTAATTATAGTAGTGTCTAAATTAATATTTTTTAAGATTAGAACATCTTTATGTGATTATATTTAAACAAAAAGTGCTCAAAATCATAGCCATTGTCACCTTGAAGAAGTTGATAATAGCATGTTTTACCAAAATTGACAATAATATTAGACTATTGCAGGTATCATCACAAAATGAACAAAGCTGGACCAAGGTCCACTTGTATAATTGTGTCTAGCTGTTTTCAAAATTATGTGAAAAAATAGAATTTTGAATGATTTGAAAATGTTTGAAATGAATAAATCTGAGAGATTATTTTCACACATGGTACATATATACCAATATATCAAATCAAGTGGTCTTGTCGTTTTTTTAAGAAGTCAACATCAACAATCAGTAATACAGCTCCGTTGAAAAACAGCAGAGCTAAAAAAAAAAATCCTCTTCCAACTTCTTTAAGATTCTTTTTAATTGGGCAAAATAATATACTGTGGAATACTTTATTTTCGCTGGAATTAATTTTTGCTGAAAAAACGTTTTGGGCGTTTTGTATAGAATTTATTTTCACTGATTTATTATATATTCGAAGTATATTCGTCATCCCTTCAGCGAAAATAAATTCCAAGTGAAAATAAAGTATTCTACAGTATTGTGCATTACATGTGCACTACAATCAAAGTATTTATTTAAGACAACCAATGTGTGAGCATAGGTGATCCATATTGTTATGTATTGGACAACATCCTGATTTTTACCACTTATTTTGTGAGTGTTGATGCCCAAAAATTATTTTTCTAATACGACTGTTTAATAAATCAACACTATTAATAGAACTCACCATGCCCTAGACCAACAGTAGCTGGAGCTGTATTGTAACTTTTCGGTGGCTTACGAAGCCTCGTTGCAAGACCTGTTTAATATAAAAAAATTCATGTCATGCTAGTGTACAATATCTTTTTTTTTCTTCGTGTAAGATCTTATGGTACGCCAGGCTGGAAGATGGTTTAGGCTGAGAAAAAAAATATCTGTTTCTCGTTACCGCGCGCATCATTTTGAACTATGCGTTTTTTTCTTTCTAAAGCAATTCAAAATGCGCTTGCACTCGTACTTGTCTCAAATTTCTCCTATTTTAGCACAGTATTCAAAAAAAAAAAAAAATCGCCTCGCTGCCTCATTTAAAAATTTCCATGAAACAAGAAACAGAGAATTGTTTTTTCCCGGCCATTACTGCAGCATGATTTAACATATTTGAAGGCACTTTTTGAATCAGAAATGATCTGATGTGAATGCACATATACTTAAATACACCAGTTATAACATATTTTGGCGATGATTTAAAAGAAGGTTAACTATTACATACCTCCACTGTTGTGTTGATGATAATCTATTAATTCAGGAATCGTTGGAAAGGAATGTTTATCTGACATGTAGAAATAACCCTGGTCGTTCTTTTTAATATGATAGTGACGTACAAATCCATCAGACATGCCAATGACACTGAAATGTATAAATGTATATGAATAATAATTGTGAAGTTCATTATTGCAATAGATCTAGATGCACTTACAATTTGCACATACAAAAAAGTCAGGAGAGAAAACAGTGACATTCAATGTCCGGAACTGTCACCTGGCACAAAAAAAAAATTTATAAAAGAAAAAAAAAATCTAGATGGAGTACAGACAAAATCATAGTGGATACAATACCATTACAAAAATTTGTTTTCCCTTTTATCTTTTTTTCAAATATTTTAATTGTGCCAGACGACATTTTCAGACATAAGTCACAGCATTTTTTGGGCATTTTTTTTAAAGTGCTAATTGCGGACCAGTCTCCCAAACATAATGGCACATGTTTCAAAGATGGGAAGTCAGTATTTATAACATTTTATACCATCTGGATTCTTTATTTCAAAACAATGCAAAGTGTTAAGCATGTTCGCATTGCTCCAGGGAGAATTTGGATACATTCTCCTTAGTCGACTGTTAACTCTAGTCGTACACACATTATTACATTCGACTCATTCCAGGAAAGTAAGTTTTTACAAATTCTCTTTGCAAAGGACAACAATGGATTGCTTGGTGTTGTACCTCATAGTAACAAGAATCCAGTTGTCTACATAAATAAGACTACACTTCAGCATTTGCTGGCTAACCTGAATAAAAACAAAATAATAAACAAATCAAACTCTAGATGGCGCTATTTAACAATATGGAAGATTGTACTCACCCATCTTTACTGTAAACGGAAAGAGTGTACATTCCAGCAGTACTAGAATTACGAACAATAAAACAACCTTCTTTGTCTTCAGCTTTTAAATCTTCTTCTGCTTGAGATCTTGACACCTCGGATGAATACCAACTAAAAACAGAAACAAATAATTTGTAAATAGAAAATTTGATTATTTTTTTCACAACACAACCACATTATCACTAGTTAGTATTAAGTTAGTATTATTTTATAGTTTATGTGTTTACTATATACATCATTTATGAACCAGCTGAATTTGTAATACTAGAAACAATGTATAGAATGGTCAACATACATACATTACGTCGGGCCTATACAGCGTTTATTGTTTGACGTAGTGATTTACATAGTATTGTCTATAAGCATTGCTGAACTAAATTCAGATAATTTGTTCCCATATAACATTTTTAATAAAAAAATATACAGTAGCCAATGTAAAATTAAGTTCATTTGATAAAAATAAACAAAATATAATACATTAAAATGTATGATCATACAAAATGTATGGCATTCAAAAGGTTCAAGCCCATGTGAGAAAATCAGAATATTATATAGGGTAATAAAAAGGCAAATCATATGACAGAAAGAAGGATTAAAATACTTACTCAAACTTGGTTAACATATTAGTATAGTCTTTTTGTTCTTGAACAAAATTACTTGGAATGTGTCCCACTTCCCTGCAAAAATTGACAATTATGATTATTGCCTATGACACAAATTAATACAAAGTCATACCTGCACAAAAATGTGCAATTTTATTTTTTTTAAAAACTTTTTTGTTTAAATTTAGACAAGTTGTTAATTCTAAACTCATTTTATTTATGCATTCAGTGTACTACGGTAGGTGGTGAATCAAGTGCATTGCTGGTCTTCAGTGCATAAATTGTTCAAGTTCAAATTATCAACTTTAGCCATTGTGACCTCAGATATTTGATTCACTCATAGGTCTATGATGTACTTCACTTGGTCAAAAATTTTCCCTGGTTTGTCCAACAAGAGAAAAATAAAGATACAGCAAAATTGTTAAAACATTGCTACTGAAGTTATCTAAGTTGCAATTTCTATAACTCAGCAGTTATTCCTGCAAAGGTTTAATTACCTTACTTCAGTTATAGCTATAGTCTCTAATTTAATCATAAATATAAGAAATTGCATTATCTTATTTGAAAGTTACGTCAAATGCTACAAACAAAACATATCCGATAAATACAAGTATAATAGCTGAGGTGTATATAACTTACCCTCTACTGTTTTTTGCTTTCCACCAATGTTCTCTACTATCATCTAACACAGTGTACTCGTCTCCTTTCACTAACGCTAAATCACCTTGCTGTGTTGGTGTATACGGATACAATGCTACAACAACACGCAAATCCTTCTCTATTTCTGGTGGTCGAGGTGGAGGTGCAGGCTATGAAAGAAACACAATAAAATTAATGAAATCCTGCCCATTCTACTTTTTTCCCATTCTGTTTCATTGCATTTCAGTTAGGTACTGTTTTATTCTATTCTATTCTATCCGACCCTACTGGTTCTATTTTATTTTCCCAACCATATATTCTATTCTATTATCCATCTCATTTTATTCTACCCTACTATATTACATTTTACCGTATTTATCCGGGTAAGCACCCATGCCTGGGCACCCCCCCCCCCATTTTGATACAATAAAGAAATTGCGGTCATGTCCAAGTATACGCCCAGGGGGGATTTTTCTACACTTGGGATAAAAAAAAATATTCATTTATTTCCGTTCCAAGTTTTCATTTGCCATTCTATTCCCTGCCACAGTTCGATCTGCGAATTTTCTTTCTTTTTCTCAGGGGATGTCCAGGCATACGCCCACCCCTATTATTTGAGCATGTACCTGGATAAATATGATATTCTATTCTTCCTACCCTATAATCTATTCTATATTATACTATTTTATTGTCCCTCCTAATGTACTGAACCCTATTCTATTCTATTCTATTTAATTTCTATTTAATTTCTATTCTATTTAAATTCTATTCTATTCTATTCTGTTTGATACTCTAAACCACTCACTGGAGGTAAGACTGGTTGTCTTGAAAAGCGGACATTCTCTGGTGTAGATGGAAGTGGGCTTGAGTCCCTGTTCCTCCTTCCTCCTCTTATACGACTTTTAAATGCTTCTTGACATCCTGGAGCCAATCTTGCAGTCTGCCCACAGCACGACCAGGTAGATGACGAAAACATGCCATTGTGATACTTGTTAAGAAGACATCTATTATCTCGACACACTGTGCAAAAAAAATAAACATAATTTAACCCTTTATACTTGTATTGTCAGAAAAACTTATCTAAAAGCCTTCTCAATTTTGAAACACTTTGCCAAAAATTAAATCTTGAAGTACTGTAGAATACTTTATTTTATTTTATTGATTCCGTGAAAATAAAATCCAGTGAATATACTTTTTTTCCTATATTTCACATTAAACTCATCAAAAATCAGTGAAAATATATTCCATACAAAACGCCCAAAAAGCCTTTTCAGCGAAAATTAATTCCAGTGAAAATAAAGTATTCCACAGTAACTGTAATTATGATCTGGTCCAAAATGATCTAAAAAATTACAGAATAATAATTAAAAATAGACAAAATGTTGCACCAAATTTAAAGAATAATTATGGTGCTGATGATCAACATCATTGTACCATATGACTCTATGGTAGTCAACTAAATTGTTTACAACACATGCATGAACTTACTGTTTTGTAAAATAGAGACCCAATCATCTCTTTCAGATTTTTGATGTGTGAATACGTAAAGTACATAGTCATTCCAACACACCTGTAATCACAAAAACAGTATTATTACAATGGGGAAGAGGCAAGTGTAGCTCAATGAGCCCCCAGTCAATCAGAGTGATTCAAACAATCGACAAAACAAACCAGAGTTACGTATATGCGTGAATAGAACGTACTCGTTTATTGAAGTTAGATAGAATATATATATATGCAATACCAGAGAGATGTATGGTTTGCGTTCTATAGAACATCAATCAACAATAATAATCTACTCAAAAATTAATCATACAAATATAAATCATTAACTAAATGACACATGTATTATACACATAATGTATTACATAGTTGGGAATTATAATATACCTAAACTTCTTGGGAAATGAATCAACTAATAAAAATTTATAGTATCACTTTCTACCCAAAAAATTATGTTCAAATATCAACGATCATTTGAGACACAGGAAGAGAGGGAATTTACGCATAAGGTCACAGTATCAACCATAAACCTGTCTGTTGTACATATCATTATTCAATGACTAAGTATTTATTAATTTAATGTATTTTTTTCATTTATTTCAGTCAAAATTGAGGCTACTTTTGCTGAAAAGACACTTTGGGTGTTTTGTATGGAATTTATTTTCAATGATTTCTGACGAGTTGAATGTAAAATATAAGAAAAATAGTACATTTGCTGGATTTTATTTTCACTGAATCATTCCCTTCAGCGCAAATAGCGAAAAATAATTCCAAGCGAAAATAAAGTATTTTACAGTACATGTATTTGGTTGTATATAAATCTAAAAATAACACTATTGAATGGAGTACAATGCATTTTACACACAATATAATATCAAACCCATAGTGTCTAAACTTGATTTTAAATATTGCTTCTCATATATAAAAAAATTATAATCAAAAAGTTTAATATTATCAAAACTTTGTGAATCGTGGTGAAAGAATGGGAATTATAAAAATCATTGCTTAACTCCATTCTACAGGACACATTTGTTTACATTGATACAAACTAGAGCCGATTATGTATGTTGTGTATTTGTGTTATATATGATTTGTCAAGATATGTCAGTGATCCCGCCCTGGAAAAGGAATTTACTAAAACAAATTGGATCTCAGTCTGCCATTTTTACTTTGATCTAGGAAAAAAAAGTTTTGTGTATCAAGGTCCTATCATGTCAAATGTACATAACAATTTAGAATGAATTTAGAATTTATGCATGATCCAGATCCAGTCCCAGAATGGTAGAAATGTTTGATTTTGATTTTGATTAAATTGAAAATGGTCACCAAACAGCCATTGTGAATTTGGTCATTGAATGAGTGCATGTGTGATATGATGTATGTATCAAGGTTGAATGTGATAGGTCATGGCTTGAACCAAGAACAAACCTGTCCATGCATAACAAAGATCCATTTCCGGAATGACTGAAATTCTTAGCAGTAAAATGGACACAATTTAACCATCTAGAATTGAATCATGAAACAAATGCATATGCCTACATGTGTCTGTATTACATATGATGTGTGACATACATGTAGTAATTTGAATGTAATTTGAGCATGCATATGTCTGCAATACAGGAATGTACAGATGCAGTGGTGAACGAACAGATATATAGACACATGGATGGATGGATGGACCAGTTCTCATTTTTGGACTACATCTGAATCCTGTTTAAAACAAATTTCGACCAGTCCACCATTTTGAATAAAATCATAAAACAAAATGAAATGCAGCAGTTGGATATTGTGAGTGTTCAATACCAATTGTGAATTAAATTCAAACGTACAGCCAAAAAACGGTTGATGACATGTTCAAGTTTTTGTAGGCACAAAAAGAAAAGAGTGATTATGTGTGATGGGAAAACAATTCAATGCTATTGCAGATGAAAACAGCAACATATTTAAATGTGTTGTGATTAGTAAGGAGGTTTCCATGCATTTTTTCATACTACATGTATTTCAAGTAACATGAACACATCAAAAAAATAAAATACAGATGGCCACCAATTGGCCATTTTGAATGAAAATGATGTGCATCAGTAATCCACCGTGGGAAATGACAGTACTGATTTGTAATGAAATCGGTCTGGTAGTATGTTTTTACTAAAATTGCTATCTGTCAGGCAAAGGCAAATAAACGAAAAAATCCAGGAAGGTTCGAGAAATGTTGTCAGAAAGTTGTTGGATGAAAGCCAAAATAAAGTCCCTGTTTCAGACTATGTTCGACAGTGACTAAAAACAAACCTATGATAACTACCTGGAAAGGATATCCTCTGTTTTTTTCTGCAAAAGCAGATTCATCTACTTCTTCAATGACTGTGATTTCATGGATGCATATTTTCCCTTTTTCTTTGCCAGGTCTCTGAGAATAAACAGAAAATCTCAATCAGACACTCAGTTACAAATTGAATTTATACAAGAATACATGGCTGTCAGTGTCTGGCTGTCATGCTGGAAAGAATTAAACTGGCCCAAGAACACATGGTTGTGTGGTGTTTAATTACTTTTAGCATCACAGCCAGATATCCATTGTTCTTGGACAGTTTAATTATTTCCACAAAGGTCATGCAAGCCATCTGAAAAAAACAGTTTCAAGTGAGTCGATCAAGTGGTCTAAAACATTTACTCACGTAGAACTAGCAAAGTCTTTAGTGGATGTGATTCCATGTGATTATTAGTAAATATGGCCTATTTGGTATGAAAGCTAATACATAAATCACCATATAGCAGATGTTTTATCTTCCTACAAGTTTTTGAGAAACTAATATGTCACAATAAAGAATGTGCAAGATAAAGCCCTCAATTGACAAAAATAATGCATAGCATACCAGAGAAATGTTTTGGGTCTGGACCGGTTTTTAAAACAGATTCAACCCATATTAGCCCATGCTAAGCGGGCTAACGTTTTGGACTGCTTAGGGATGACGTCAACAGATCGATGTCGGATAAAAAACTTAATTCCTTTAGTTTTTTTCCAAACCCCCCTACCCCCCCTGAAACTTAATTGATAAATATTGGTCATGGCGTCAGACTACATTCACCATTAAATACAAATTGATAATCGGACAGTAGTATTGCATAGCAGTTGGTTGTCGGGTGGGTGTAAAAAGATTTTACAAATGCACCTCATTTGACGCACAGATTTACACTCGAACCAAACCATTTTTTTGTTTTTTTTCCCTTTTCGGTTATTCCTGTCCATGATTGGATAGAACTACAAATACTCCAAGATTTTTTTGACTTCATTAAAAAATAAAATCATTTTTGTAGGATGGAAACTTTTTGAGGTCAAAACCCCCCACCCCAAACTAAAGGAAATAAGTTTTTTATCCGACATCGATCTTTTGACGTCGTCCCTTAGCCTATGGGTGATTAAACTAGTTTCCATGGAAATCACATTTCTATATTTACCCCATGGCACTGAGGCCCAAAATCTGTGACAAATTTTTAAAATTAGTGAGCCCCTATTGTAAGAAGGACGCAGCAAATAAATAAAAGAATTAAATTAATTATTAATTAAATATATAAATGTAAGTAGAGCCTTTTCCTGTCACAATATTTGAACAAACTTTAATTTATGGCCTGATAAAGTTTGCAATTTTGTGTTTATTTTAACCCATAGTCACCCTGAACTAGTGGATTTGATTGTGTTATAAAACAGCCAGTTTAATGTTTGTTCATATACGATTTGACCTAAATTATTGTAATTGTTAATAAACGATTGTATGTAAAGTTCTATTTCAAGTTTGTGAAGTTTCATTTTCTGTTTTTAATGTTTGATTTTCATTTTAGCTTTGTTTTAAAGACCTTTTACCCTTCCCATATCATTTAAAATAAAAGGGAAAGGTATATTGGGGAAAATATCTGTCAACATCATTGTCGCCGTTGTTAATACTTATTAATGTGTGCAAGATAACTTGAATACCAGTAATACTATTTCAAACTTTATCAAACTTGGTTATCTTAGCTGGTTCTTGCCCAAGTATGGTGTACAAGTGTCTCTGTTAGATAAATATGAACCATCTCATTATATTCGTAGTGTGATGACTGTATTATAATGAAAGGTAAAAAGCGCCCTCCAGTGATAACTATCATGTTGCAACGTCTGCTTTCTCAATGTGAAATCAACTTCAGCCTTGAAGTACGGGGGAGGGGGGGGGGGTATGTACATGTACCTAAAAATAGTAACAGTTAGTTGGTCCTAGTTTACAGTATTGTTTGCTTTGGAGAATCTACATTGCAGTGCATTTTTGTGGTTTTTCAGAATTAACACTTAATTAACAGTATTCAATGTTCTACTCAGCCTTAAGTCAGTTCACATTCATAGATATATACGACATACAAGTATTTTCAATTTATTCTTACTGTATTGTAATCTGTATTGTAATCTTATTGTAATACTCAGTTTGTTTACTGCTTACAGTCTTAAGTCAATTTACAGTGAGCAATTTATACCTATTTCTGTCTTAATAAATTTATTCAGGTTAAATCTAATAAGTTAATAACATTAACTGTGTTTTTGTATTAATATTATTAACAGTAATTCAGAAATGTCAGTACAAAAACTAAAGCCTTGCACACAAAAAAAGTGCTGCCTTTAGATGTGAACAGAATCTTAAAAACATAAGGGGAAAAAGAAATCTCAATCAAAATTAGATGAATCAAAGATTTGGTTGCAATTTCTAATTTTACAGACCAGATTATTCATCAAATTAGACATTTTATAAATTGATCTGAAATTCCATCAGAAAATTTGTTGAAAGAAACTTCTTGAAGGTATGATACAAGAAATGCCTGCAATAGGTTTACAAAATTTAAGCCTCACATGTTATCAAAATGTCATCATACATGCATTAATACACAGTCCATCATTTGCCAAATTATGCACCAATTTTTTTGTAAGATAATTACATCAACAGAAGAGATTTTGTAGACTGCTTTTCCCACGGCTGTTTCAATCCTAAAACTTGTCTGTATTCAAAATTAATTATGACAGTGCATATTCATATTAAAACAAACTATGATAAATGAAATAATATTACATGTATGTAACAAAGGTCATCACAGTTTAACTATGTTCATTTTTGTTATTGCAAGTCATTCCCTTTTAGGAAGTCAGACTATATTTTCATTTCTTTTTTATACATTTCCTTTTCTGTTTTTTTTCCATGTTTTATTTTTATTTCTGCTTTGTGGTAACTCCATTTTTTACTTCTATAGGTTACACGCATTAGAGAGCTTGAATCGTGTTATACAAATGTTGCCTTCATTCTCATGCCAAGTGCAGTGATGTCATAATCAAAAACTTACAAAAACATACAATGAGCTTTGGAGTTAATGTTATATCAAAATACTTTGTGAATATGAACTACATTTTTTCACAGAATATAAATTATACATAAAATAAAAATTGAGAATTTTGAATTGTTACAAAACAAAGAAGCATATGAATGCAAATTGTAGACAAACATTAAAAGCAGTCATTCCTTCAGCATTAGAGACAAAAATAACCAGTAAACTGTCTCTGATTTATTACTTTAGTTGAATTTTTTGACCTAGAATAGAAATGTATCTTTTCTATTCAGCTGTACTAAAGTTTATCTCATATTATTTTGTAAATAACTGTTATCAAAGTGCTAAAAACAAATTAAAATACCAAATTTTGATAAAGAAACGATCTAGGTATAATAAAGTAAATATGCCTCAACATGTATCAGTAATTCAGACCTGTAAAACACTTTGATAAAAGCAGTATTACTTCCTTATTGCTTTCAGTTAGTGCCCAATTACCAAATGTTATACATAATTTAATTATTCATTTTGTCAAGTTGCATGAAATAATTGTTAGTCACTGAGGCATATTGAACTGTTGGATGGGTGTTCCTCTTCATTACAACATACTTTAATTTAGCTGAAATAATTTATGGAATGTATGGAATTTATTTTATATTTATTTATGGGAAATATAGGAAAAAAGAAATATTCACTGGATTTTATTTTCTCTGAATCATCCCTTCAGCGTAAATAGCGAAGTATGATCTGTTTGACACTGATTTTGGTGGCAGGGATGGGTGCTTAGTCAAAATTGACCCCACAAAAATCTTCCGAAAAGTAGGGGGTAGGCACTTAGTTAAGCATAGGCACTAAAACGGTCAAGTACGGTAGTATTGTATTGTTAAGTCAATAAAACAACTGAGTTGTGACCACTTCACAACATTTTTTATTACGTATTTTATTAGTGGCTTTCAGCAAAAAATAGAACCATATGATTGTTTGTTCTTTAAGCTTGTAATCACCAAAGTCAACTTTTGACCCAAACAAACCCATAAAAACAAAAAAATTAAATTGAAAATTATATCTAAAATGTCATACATTCTGGTGGCACAAATAATCAAACATGTCAGAAGCACACACTGCTAAAACACAACTGGAAGTTGAACAAACCATGATGCCATAAAAATAAAATCAGTAGGAATTTATGAATAAACAGGAACATTTAAAACTTTTATTAAACAAATACCTGTATACAGTGTTCTCTGTAATATCTCAATATTCTGGATTTATAAATTTACAGGTCTGACCTTTTTTTCCCCAGCATATATGCAGGAGTTTTGTCAAAAGAATGCAGTCTACTCTTGAATTTAATTAATTAATTAATTACTGTAAAAAACTTTATTTTAGCTGGAATTCATTTTCACTGAAAAAATATTTTGAAAATATATTACATGTGTGTATTGAGTTTATTTTCCCGGATTTTTGATGAGTTGAATGTAAAATATGTACGAGAAAAATGTAAAGTTGCTGGATTTTATTTTTGCTGAATCACCCCTTCAGTCAAAATAGAGAAAATAAATTCCAAGTAAAAATAACGTACTTAACAGTAGTTGTCTGTTGCTTACTTTCTTGAATGAGAATTTTTGGTCAATTTTGTGGAGAAAATCCTCTTATATATTTAAATCATTTTTGTTCTATGTATATCGTAAATATATTTAAAGTAAAATGTAGTTTTAAATTCAAATGATAGACTGTTTATATCGTTTATAAGAAACGCACAAATCCCCCAAAATACTGTAACAAAACATATCTAGTATTTATATTACTTGTCAAAATTAGTTTCCATTCTTATGTTGTTATGGTAAGAAGGAATGCATAAACTCAAAAATAATAGCCTTCACATATTCAACAAGCGACCCTGTGGTCGGTAGAGCCCCCACCCCCACCCCCTGTAATTGACAAGTGCAGAGGCAGTTACTAGGTAGATAGAAGAAGTGGAGTCTATGGCAGTTTAGTAATTGTGGCAATGGTCACTGGAAGGGCATATCTCATAAGAGAAAATGTATTTGTGTATGTAATGTATGTATAATTGATGATGTGGGTGTACAGGAAATTGAAGCTGAAACATGAAGTTGTTGTCACTATTATCAGAATATGTTTGCATTATTTAGTTACTGTACATGTGACTGAATTAAGAATGAAAAAGTGATCTTGAGTTGACCTCGACTTTTCTTTGAAAGATCTTGACGATGGAGGGGTGACCTCCTGACCCCCCAATACACATGCAATCAACATGTGACCTTGAGATGACCTTGACCCAGCCTTAACAATTTTGGAGAGGTGTTTTAGTCCCTCCCACCCTCACTGTTCAGTATCACCCATATAAAAGCAGCAAACGTATACACCTTGAAATGACGTTGACACCTGAGCTTGAGCATTTCTGGAAAACATTGACCCATCCAGTTCATTTTCCAAGACAATGTGTACTAAGAAAGCCTAGCAGCCAACTGATACAATTTTTTACTGGAGTCCATGTATTATACATAGCCAATATATAATGCATGTGAAAGTGAAAGTGAAAAATAAAATAAATAACAACAAAACAAAAATCATAACTTCCACAAAAATAGAGATATCTTCACCAAATGACCAAACTTGAGAGAGGACAAGTCCATGTGTTTACAATATGAATTTCAAAGCAATGTGGCAGGTAGTTTCGGAGAAAAAATGAGAAAAAAAATTATAAAAAAATACACTAAAAATAGACACTTGCATATGGTGCCATAAAAATAATAAGTCTGAGTGTAATCCATTTCAACAACATTCATGCCAAATTGTCCAATCTGACAAGCATTTTGCAAAAAAATCATTTATAATCATAAATGACAAAAATATTCCCAAAAAATAGAGGTTTACATGTGATGTCATGAAATGAATAAATCAGACAAAATACCATCCCAGGTAGGTAGGTGTGGTATGAATAGCAAGGCAATCAAGCTGACAGTTTTGGAGAAGAAGTCATTTGAATGAAAAAAGTTGATGGACGGCGTACGACAACAGATTGGCCAACCCATGAGCTCTGCTCGGTCTTCTTTGATGACAGCAGAGCTAATAAAATGTTACTTGGCCATCATACCATGATGCTGGACACTAGTTTGAAGTGTTACATGATAGAGGAACTTTGATTTATAAATTTCATATTATTTGCACATATTGTTATTGTAAGTGGAGTGTAAATAAAATATAATTAAAATACTAATGAAGACAAGGTACAGGCCACAAGAATGAATATGGCTATCATATTTTTGTCGTACAAATTTGCTGAAAGTATTCCATATAACTGACTAATTGGATGTTTCATGGGATAACTCAGGAAACAAAAATAACTTTATAGTTTAATGATCCTCAGTTGAAAATTTTTTGACCAATTTTTTTTATTCTAATTTCTACCTATGGGGTAATCCATAGAAACAAGTAAAGGTAGCCGTCGTTTAATCTCCTCATAGTCAATATTTTGAATTTCACTCGGCAATATATCAAGAATTCATAGTACTGTACTTTTAAATGTTCCACATTTTCACTAGACATCCCCCGTAGTGGCTATAATTAGCACGAGACAATCAGTAACCATGTATCATATAATGCTGACCAATCACAACAAGTATATATCTGACATTTCCTTTCAAAGTTCAATTCTGATCAGAAATAGCATTAGTGACCTTTGACCTGTGTAATCAATATTTTCAAAATGCATGCTAATTTAGCAGCATTTAGTTTTAGCTAGCTCAATATGAATCTATTCTCACAAATGATATTGTTGATATTTTATGCAATTTGCTAAACTGGCATGTAACAGTACAACAATCTTACTTGGTGTTGTAATTAACTGTACTTTACTGCACTGTACTGTAAAATGTAACATGTACAAGTCAAACCCGTTATTCCAACCAGCCACGAGACTTTATTACAATGGTCTATATAGACAGGTGGTCTTTATATGGAGGATGGATTATTATGGATTGCCAACTCGTACATTTGACATGATAATGGTCCAGAAAATAATGAGATGGTAATGTTACAAAAAAAAACACATTTATTTGAGTTGATGAAAATCAAATAAGTTTGAGGAAATTAGAAATTGTTTTATAAATTGAACTTACTTATTATTTTGGTCTCTAACCAAAACTGAATTTACAATAATATTGAGTGGTCACATAAAACAGGTGGTCCTTATGCTCATATAGTATGCCTTGGAGTACCTAAAAGTGGTCACCATAGGCAGGTAGTCATTATACATTGTACACAGGTTTTTTTATGTTATGCCCTGGGACTGCCTAAAAGTGGTAAGGAAAGAGTTCCTTGAACCCTATTTTAACAATCCAGCCCCCAATGTAATTCAATATGCCCCCCCCCCCCAAATAACTAAAATTGACCTGAAGAGGGGTAAACAGTGTTCTCCCCAAAGCGGTTTAGCATAGCGGGGCCGCTACTCTATTATTTATGCCGCTACTTTGAGAGATTGCCCGCTACTCTGTGGCATTTCCTGTAACTCTTTGTTTTAGCTTATAAATACACATGCGAATCTGTTAGTCAGCGTCATCAGCGTCCGGTACTGTGAGCCAAATCAGGTGTGAATGGAAACATGTCAGTGATTACGCAAAGACAATGGACTAATACAGCTTC